CAGGAGGAAGGGTGAGATTTTAGCTCTGAGCTCTGACCTCTCGGCTTTCTCTTTTACATTGTTTCTGTGTTTCTTATTTAATAAGACGGTTGGTTACATCAACATCACTTCCTCTGTTTCTTTAAACAAAACAAAGCTTGACCTGTCTATCATTATGCCTAAGTAAGAATTTTCAAACATATATGGATTCAGAACCTCATTTTAACATTCAATCTGGGCCTTCCTCACACCCATACCGCACAGTCCCAAAAGGCAGTCTAGATCATAGCACTTCCTACAATGCCCTTGTGCCTTTGTATGACTGTTTATGCCTGCCCCAATCTAAGGTTGAACTGTTAACAATTGCCAGAAAATAGGTGAAGTTCAAGAAGTATAACGAGAATGAAGCAAATAACTGGATTGTTTTCACTGTTGCTATTGGTCTTAGTTTGGGCTTCTATTGCTGTGAGGAGACACCATGACCATGGCAGCTCTTCTGTTTTTTGTTGTTGTTGTTATTGTTTGTTTTTGGTTTTTTGAGACAAGGTTTCTCTGTGTAGCTTTGGAGCCTTTCCTAGAACTCATTCTGTAGCCCAGGCTGGCCTTCAACTTGCCTCCACCTCCTGGCTCTGACCATGGTAACTCTTATAAAGAAAACATTTAATCAGAGGTTCAGTCAATTATCATCATGGCGGAGAACACAGCAGCATGCAGGCAGAGGTAGTGCTGGCGCTGAGAATGCTACATCTTGCAGGTAACAGGAAATCAACTGACACACTAGGAAGCATCCTGAGTATATGAAACCTCAAAGCCTGCACTCACACTTCCAACAAGGCCACACTGTTGTAGAATATTATTTTAAGGTGTTACTTTTGTTTGTGTTGCATTTGTTCAACTCTGGGAACCTGTGATACTTTGCCTATCTAAAACACCTAATAAAGTGTAATAAAGAACTGAATGGCCAATAGCAAGGTAGGAGAGAAAGGCAAGGCTGGCAGGCAGAGACTATATAGAAGGAGAAATCTGGGAGGAGAAAGAAGAAAAGAGATGGAAGAGTGGGGGGAGGGAGCAGCAGACAGAGAAGGGGGAGGACATGAGGGCCAGCCACCCGGCTACACAGCAAGCCATGGAGTAAGAGTAAGATTTATAGCCGGGCGGTGGTGGCGCACGCCTTTAATCCCAGCACTCGGGAGGCAGAGCCAGGCGGATCTCTGTGAGTTC